AAGCCAGGGGTGGTGGTACATGCCTTTAATCCCAGAACTCTGGGAGGCTGAGGCAGGAGAAACAGGAGTTTAAGCCCAGCCCTGCAAATTTAGCAATATAGCAACTCATCAAGACCCTGTCTCAAAATAAAAAAGAGCTGGGGATGAAGCTTAGCGAGGCTTTGGGTTCGATCCCCAGTGCTACAACAACAGCAAGTTTGGCAAAAGCAACTAATAATAAAAGAGTATATGTAAAAAAAAAAGCATATTTTGCATGCTTTACTTACACTAACTAGACAGGTTTGTGTCTCTTGATAATCCTGTGAGTGGACAATACACACAGACTTAGGATACATCCCCATTTTAGAGATGAATACACGGAACGATTAAGTCACTCAAACACAAGGTTCCTGCAGTTACGCCACCCACTAAGGACACGGGATGCGCTAACTCCACTACCGTTTCTCTGTCCGGGTTTCCTCAGGACCTCACTTGCTTCATGGGGTGCCAGAGAGGGTCAGAGGCAGCACCACAAAACCTCCAGAAAGGAGACTGGTCCTGTACCACCATATCTCACTCCTAGTTTCCAACTTGGCCGTGACTGCGTCCTCCACGTTCCTGTTAACAACAGGGTCTTCTCTCCCAGGACCCCGGCTCGGCCTTCCAGTGCGCTTACAGACAGGCACGGCACCAGGGGCTGAGACACAAGGGGAGCCTCCTTTAGGAGAAAAGTGTCCTCAGGAAGCCACCTGGGGGACAGGTCAGCACTGTACCTAAAGGCAAACAGGACCGTGCTGGGCCGGAGCTGCTGGCAAGGCTGTGCAAGCAGACACCCCTCACTCGGGCCTCAGAAGCAGTCGCTTAACGGGCACCTAACATGGTCAGCAGGAGATGCAAGATACTCACAGAAATTTAAGTTTAAAGACGCTGTGAAAAAACAGAAAGGCATTTCTGTGAATTCCATACAGCAACAGAAGTTGCTTCCAATGCATCTCACCACTTATCTTAAATGAAGGTCTCCAGATCAGCAGATTCAGTATATTCAGTGAACACAGGAATTGTTTTTCCTAAATTCACTGACCTTCACAGCTGACTTCAGAGAGGCTCTGGATTATATAAAATAAAACAGATAATAAACTTTTCACAGATTGTGTCCTGGGGCAGGATCCATGGCACAGGCCTGTAATCCAAGCGCTATGGGAAGCTGACGCAGGAGGATCACAAGTTCAAGCCCAGCCTAGGCAACTTAGCAAAAGCCTGTCTCAAACTGTTTATACAGGGATGGGGCTATAGCTCAGTATGAGGCCCTGAGTCTGAGGAAGGGAAGAAAGGAGAGGGGAAAGCAGAAAGAGAGGAGTGGGAAGGGGGAGGCCTGTGTTGAGGCTGTAGCCTCCTCAACCCAGCCCTCAGCCTCCTTCCTTCTCCTGCCCAAGGACGCCCGTTGCCGCAGCGTCAGCAACCTCCAGCCGCTTGAACTTGAGCCTCTGAAGAGAGGAAGTGATGGGGGAGGGACAAGTGTCACCTGCCACGCATAAAGCTAAATCAGAAGAAAACAGGGCAGAAAAACCAGAAGGCAAAAACGTGTAGACAGCTGAGCCATCAAGTAAGGAAAGTGATGTAGAAACTGACAGTGAACGGTAACTGGTAAACACAGAGCTAAGCGGGGAGACGATGGGCCAGGAATGTGGAAAGGGGCTGCGCTGTAGCCCCAGGGCTAGTGAACGGCAGCAAGCCTCTGGCCTGCTCTCAGAGGCACTGAGATGAATCCCGATTCAGCTCGGCCTCACAAGTGGTAGGGGCAGCCACAGACTTCACTGGGAAGC